ACCGTAAAATCACGAGTAAATAGAAACATCGAGAATAGAATGGGAAAAATGATCTTACCAGATACGTATAAAATCACGAGTAAATAGAAACATCGAGAATAGAATGGGCCGCGAAATGATCATAACAGACACGTAACGTAAAATCACGAGTCAATAGAGAAAGTAGAATGGGAAAATGATCACCGACAATTAAGAGAAAAATAATAGCAAGGAAATCAAACAAAGAAAATAGCCAACCTAAATAACAAGGATCGCTCCCAACGCACTACTCATCATTACATTCTAGTGCCCTAGAAGCCCTAATCAGTGGAAGGTTTTAACCTTAAAATAGCTGTTGATAGCTAAAAGACTCTATATGCCTTAAAAATGACAAGAATGGTATTCTGAGTCCTAAAGTCATTGATAATATTGAGATGTAAGGTGATTTGTAGCGATATAATACCAATCTATCGCTCATCCTTCGGTAATGAAAGATACCGTGACAGGCCACCAGTCTGTTAAAACGATAACACGGTAAAGACAAAGACTCAAAGTATTAAATGACGAAGAATAAACACCAACCTTGTACGACAAAAAGACGTGTCAAAGAAGAACAGCAGAGAAGGGAATGAAAATATACAAATGGAAATATTCGGTTGATAATGACTTCTCGCGTTACGATACTGCCTACAGTGAGCACCTTTCAACGGTGATTAACATTGAATAGTCAAAATAATGAATATTACAATGAATAAAACAAGGCAGAAATATCATGTACAGGAAACATTAACGACATGATTTACAATAGATAAATGGATTACTTTATTCGTAGCTATGTTAATGTAACTCACACATCACAGATGTTTCTGTTAATGCACTTTACGATCAAATCATGGTGGAAATACGCACGCATAAAGCTCTTCATCGATGAAACACGCCATGATCAATGATACTTAGAATTACTTCATTCCTAACTTAATTGGCGGTTAAAATCAAAAACAAAATAGAAAGAGAACCAAACGAATGGAGTAAAAATGAGAAAAGGAAATGTTCTCTCATTACGTTTTTACTTTGTTCTGAAACGAACCTATGCCGCATAGGATTGTGGGACTGAGATGACGCATCTTTTTGATCTCATCAGTTCTTTATCCTAAGCGGCTCCTATAGAGCTGTTTTAAGTTGTGACGTATTTCCGGGTCCAACTACTCACAAAAACGCTAAAAAATAAAGCAAAGAATGGTCTAACTCAAAACCTTTCACAAAGAAAAAACAAGATAACTATTTACGTTTTGGACCCGGAAGTCGTTTATTTTTATACGAGTGACGTCACACAGCTCTATTCGTTACTAATGATTCTTACCCAGGCCTTGCTCTGTTCGCAGCTTGACTGAATCGTGATCGTCCTACAGGTCTTCTGGTATCGTGTGGTCTCTCTGGTCGCGTGGACGCGATAGATTTTGTTTGACGTGAAGCCAGTGGAGAAGGTGGTCTGGGATTGGGCAGAATATCACAGAAATAGATTAATGACAATATATAGTCGTGTGGGTTCCCTATGGAATACGGTTATTACTTACCCTGTTCTCTTTTTTACCCTGAGGAAATGAAATCAATATACGATTCGTTAGCTGTTATCGTTAGACATGTTACTACAAGACATTATCAGACGACCATGGTAACGATGTGGACGACCATGGTAACGATGTGGACGACCATGGTAACGATGTGGACGACCATGGTAACGATGATGATGATGGTTTTGATGATTATGATGGTGATGATGATGATTGATATTTGATGGTGATGCATGGTGATGTATGATGATGATGATAGTGGTGATGATAATAATAGTGGTAATGGTGGTGGTGGTAA